GAAGGTTGCAGATTCATACCTCAGCTACTCCTGAATGCCCTAAATGATTATCTCCAGTTCCACAATGCAAATGCAGAAAAAATACATTAAGATACAATACAACTCCTTCCTTCCACATTCTGATGCAGACCGTTCAAAATATTTGTCATATAAACCAAGATATATTTATGCTTGTTAGAAGAAACAATTTTTTCTTACCTGCAAAGACTACAAAAAAACTATGAAAACCCTGCCACAACACCATGTTCTCCAGCCAAGATTCAAGCTTTCTATCTACTGAATATGTCAAAACATTTTATGTTGTTTTTAGTCAGTATGACTTTTACACAAAACAATAAATTCTTCAACCTGCTTATTAAAATAAAATCCACAGTTGTAAACATAGCACAGAGTATGAATAGTGTTTTAATGTACCATAATGTTAAATAACTACATTATGGAGTCCTTCTTGAGAACAGTCACTCAACTACTCAATAAATTCCTCAGCTTTTATGTAACTTGAAGGTCCATTACCACTGGCCATAAGAATCCAGTTCACAACTGCATAGCCTATTTTTTTTTTAAAAAAATGTAATATTACTCCACCTATACTTGGTGAACAATACAATTATGAAGATTATTATGCAATTTTATCCAAGAGCCTGTTATTTCCTGTCCTATTCAAAATATTCTCCTCTATGCTCGATTTTTAGACATTATCAATCTAAAATTGGTTCATACAGGAGAGAGTAAAAGTTTATAAACAGGTAAAATTACAGCTTTAATTAGTCTGACAATGTGAACACCAAACACCAAAGCCCTTCTTTCTTAACTTTAAACCTGCATCTTATTTTGCATTTGAATACTTACTGTAATATCACAAGAAAAATCATATATATACCGAGAATCACATTCCATCCTTGAGCAGATATTAACAGATACTGTCCAACTCTTGAGTGAAGAAACTCAAACAACATGTTCAGTAAAGCAAGGTGGTTTGTGGAGGAAAATATCTTTCAGCCTGAATATCTATCAAAAGACATATAAAGTCGTATGCTTTCAAATTTGCTGAAATGATCAAGTAAGATTCCCATTTGTTTAAAATTAAGTGGAATAGCTTCCCACACACCCTGAACAACCAAAGATATATCTGAGAGACATATGCCTGGGAAGGACAAAAACGAAAAAAAACCCTTCAAATTTCTATATAACACAATATCTACATAAAATATGAAAATATCCAACCCAATGAAGACTGACTGCACTATTTGACTTACTGTTCAATTTGTGAAAAAAACACAACAATCTAACCTCTGCTGAAACCATACAGAATCCATGGGAATTTAACTCTTAATAGAGTGTTTCAAAAATATAATACATGAAAATAAATTTCGATGTTGCCGCTCTATTTAAGGTTTCGATACATTGCACCACAATTTACGACTGGCTAGCATGAGCTGGCCTTTCAAAGACTGATGATGTAGGTTAAGTACGGTTACGTATGATCATTTTGTACTGACACTGGATTAGTCATACCCGATTTGTTCTGCAGCTAGCTCAAACTTTACCTAAGGAATCTATATTTAGTTGAATTTATCATTGATAACATGAATTTAACAGTATCCACTTTCTCACTTACATATTCCACACACCAAAGTTTCATAACCAAGGCGTACGATACCTGAAGTGGCAGACAGATCTGAATTTTTGTTGGGAGTTGCCTTCGACGTCCCTCTTCGCGGAATATGTGCATTTTGGTACCTTCACTTGATGTACAAAGACGACAAAGTTCATAATAATTCACCCTTCTGTACCCTGCCATTGCCTTAAAAGTGGCTTAAAGCTAGCACAGCACTCAATGCGATTAAATATCATTAAAATACTCCAAAAGAAAAAAACATTTCCTTCTTGTTGAAATTGC